ATGTTGAATCATCTCTACATTCCTGGAATAAATTCTACTTGGTCATGGTATATGATTCTTTAATATAGTGTTGGATTCTGTTTGCTAGTATGAGGGGGTTTCAAAAAGCCTGTGGAAAAACTATCTTTTCATTCCATTTTAACCTGAACTTTTTGAAGTCTTCTTCTATTTTCTTGAGGATTTTTGCATCTATATTTATGAGATAATGGCCTGTAGTTTTCTTTTCATGTATGTCTTTATCTGGTTTGATTTGGTTATCAGGGTTATGTGTGTTTCATAGAATGAATTAGGGTGTATTCCTTCATTATATTTTGCAAGTGTTTTAAATAGTATTGCTGTCCATTTTTTTCCAAATGTTTGTTTCAGTTCTCCAGTAAAGCCATCTGGTCTAAGTCCAGTTTTTACTTGGGAGGTGTTTCTATTGGGGTTGTAAATGCAAGAGATTAAACAAGCCAGCAAAGCAGAGATGGGTTAAGGTAGGTGCCAAAACACATGGAGATCTATAAAGAACCAGGAAGCAAAACCAGAAAGGACCTTCCTCCATAGCCAGTATAGAGAGAAGGCCTTTCCCCAGAGTCAGCACTATGAATTTGGACTTTTAGACTCCTGGTGTAGTGCTATACGATCAGCACTGGACTGTGAACCACAAGATCGGCTGTTCAAACCCACCAGCTGCTCCTTGGAAACCTTATACTAGGGTCACTATATGAGTCAGAACAGACTCAATGGCACTTAACAGCAACAAAAACTGTGAGAAGCCATTTACTTGTGATATCTTTATTAGAGGAACACTAGATAACTAAGAAAGGAACTGAGTTTGTATCTGTCTAGCAGCTAATTGTTACCAATTGGGGGTGGGGGGTAGTCACTCTTTAAACAACCCCCAGTGAGGACTTCCTTGTTCCCATCAGGGCTCACCTCGGAGTATGTTGACTGTGTATAGCCTCCACTCACAGATGCCTGCTTCCTATCCCATAGCAGCTTCAGGCAGCAATCCTTAGCACCGAGTGTAAGGGGGAACAGGCACACCTAAACTGATCTCTGTGGAGGTCTGTGCTGTTGGGTTTAGATGCCTGAGCAATGGATTGCACATGGAGGCAGATGTGAGTGCTGAGTATGCAAACAAACTCCACTGCAGGTACCTTCTGTAGCCGTTTATAGCAGCCTGGGAACCTGATGTGGGAGGAGGTGTCACACTCTGGTCAGATGCCCATGGATATCTGTTGTACTACTCTTAGAGTCCCCTGATAGGTTGCTGGCTGTGAGTGCTTCCTAACGCACAACAGCAATTAGCAGTCCTCATTGCCAACCAGAAGTGGGGGCACACTTACCCCTAGGGAGGTGTGTCTTGCTGGTTTCAAAGGTCCGAGTATAGGGTGCACAGGATGCAGGTAGAGTGCTGACTATGGGAGATGGGAGCAAACTCCATCATTGGAAGGCCCTTCTGTGGAAAGTTACAGCAGGCTGGCAGGTGACAGTGTTCATCTGGGAGAAGGGCTGTCATGTTCCAAATGAACCTCCAGTGAGGTCTGCTTTGTAGCTGTCAGAGCCCTCCCTATAGTGTGTTTTTTGTGGGTTTGTTGTTAGCTGCTAGCGAGTCAATTCCAACTCACAGCTCCATGGAAACCCATACAGGGTAGTTTTAAGTCAGAGCAGGCCTGGTGGCACTTAACAACAACAAATACAGTTTCCAAGGGGCAGCTGGTGGGTTTGCTTATCCTACAGCGCCACACCAGATCTCTCTGGGTTGAGCCTCCACTAAAGATCTTACTTCTTAGCTCACCGCATCCTACAGTCCTCAGCACAGACTGAAATGGCAGCTTGGGACAAGGACATCTGTCATCTTGATTTCAGAGACCTGTGCTACATACCCTGCACAAGGAGACAAAGTGTTTTCTACAGGCTTTCTATAGCAATTCATAGTAGGCTGGTAGTCAACAGTATCCTGGTAGGGTAGGTTCTCACACAGTCCAAGCAGACCCCTGGGGAGGTTAGCCTTGTTGATTTTAGAGCAGAATCTTGGAATCCTGACTCAAACAGGCAGGGACTGTGATAGTTTGGAAAACAGGCTCTTTTTCTGTGACCACTAACCCAGTTCACAGCAACCCATGGCCTGCATGGCTGGTGATAGGATAAGGATAGTGGAGAAAGCATGGTGTCTTGATTCTTACTTGTCTGAGGTTCCTGCTGATTTCTTCTCCTTCCTGATTCACAGTCCCTTAAAACTCAGCACTGTTTCCTTGTATTACTAGGGGAGTATCTCAAAGATGATCTGTTTATGCCATCATCTTCCCAGAGTCCCAACTTCAAGATTATTGTTAACTGATTTCCCAAGAACAATTTTAAGAAATGCATTCTCTTGCTCTCTAAATCTCTCTTGCATGTGGGCACACACATATACAGAGACACATGTATACAAGGGGACTTCAAAAAGTTTGTGGGAAAATTTCATTATTTTTAAATTCCATTTTTCCATGAACGTTGAAGTCCGCTTGTATATGTAAGCACTTTATTTTTAGGTTACTTATACAATTAGCTTGTGTGTGAAAAATGTACACGGAAAGGAGAGAAATACTGTACTACAATGCCACCTTGTGATAAGATAATGATTGTGACTTTAAGGTTGTAAGTTTTCATGCAGATTTGTTCATCATATCCAGGTCTGGAATACTCAGCCTGCTAGGGCCCGTGTTCTCCTTAGAACAGATAGTTCCAGAAATATCCGGTCTCCAGAAAGTTATTATTTGAAGGATGACATGTAGCCTGGATAAACTTTACAGAGATACTTCATAAAATTTCTCAGTCCTGCCAGTAGACAGATATATTCAGCAGTGCTGGTCTGAGGAAGCAAAGTAAAATGTACATATGAGCTGAAAACTGTGTTCCTTGTATATTTTAAATTCTCAACATTGGGACTTCAGCCATCATTTTATTCTACAAAACTAATGGTTTCCTAGATTGTGATCTGACTTTTTTACAAAAGCATTCAATACGCTTTGTTTCATGTATTAGCTTTGTTAATTA